CAGTCCTCCCAACACTGAGGGAGGCCCGCCACCGCCGGGCCGCGCAGATACAAACCGCCAAAGCGGGTTTGATGCCTGGGCCTCACCGGCTCCGAGGTTTCAAACCGTGAAACCTTTCCAAGAGCAGTTCCAACTGTCTAGCCCTGTGTCGCTATCTGATCCGGAAAGTTTAATGTTTAACCTTCGGAGGCCCTCGCCTTCCTCTACGGAGTGTGGTTTCCCTGAGCTCGTCCCCGGGAGCCGAACTCCAGGATTTCTCGGGAGAGAGGGTGCAAAGATGGTTATCATGTTTACGGGGACTCGCCGGCCCCCTCGGGCCACTGTGGGTTGCGGAGTCTTGAGTCCGAGGACCGAGACGTGGCATTCTCGCCCGAGGGCTGAAAAGGATCCTTCCCAACAAGCTTTGGTTTCATTTTCCAACGCCCCGGCCTGGGAATCCTGCGGCCCGCGGACGTGGCCGGGCGCGGGGATCTGGGGGGTGTCAGAGGGGACGGCAGGGGCTCCGGGGTCTGGCTCTTACGCAAGCTTCCCCCAACCCCAAAAATAACCTACAAAGAAAACCTTCGCTCCGAGGGGCGGCTCCCCCAGCGTTGGGCAAATCCCCTGTAGTTCCAGTTTAAAGCTGTTTGTTTAAAAGATTTGTCGGCTGCCGATTCCCGTGGGGGCGGGAGGGGGGTCTTGGAGCCAATCCTGCCCTCGCTCTCGGTCTGCCCGCAGCAGCTCGGATCCCCGATTGCGGGAGGCCGGGCGCTCCTAGAGCCGCCCTGCAGACCCTGTGGCCGCCAACCCCGGCCTCCCCCTCCAGCCTTCCTCCACAACTTTGCTTATTTTAACCCGGTTTTGGTTACAACCACCCTCTTCCTCCCTCCCTCCCATCAGGCTCTGGTTACCAGATCCGCGTTTACTTTGGAAAAATCTAAAATCGCCACATCCGAGGATACGTGTCTTAAGGAGGCGATGAGCTTCCCGTGATTTTTAAAGAATGTTCTTTGTGCAGCTTTCTTTTAAAAGCCAGCGCTTTGGGGGAGTCGAGGTGAAGCCCCCCGAGCACCCTCGCTCTGGGAGAGAAGCTGGCTCGGCCATCTGCGGGATCGCTGCGTTCTCCCTACTTTCTCCCCCTCTTAAATGTAGTTAAAATGGCTGAATTCCGGCTTTTAATTAAAAACAGTCTATAATAGAGAACGTCTCGGCAACCCTGGCTCCCCCATCGCCTGCCGTGAACCGAGAAGGGAACCGACGCCCCTGGACCCGGCTGGGCGGGCTGGAGCAGGGCTGGGGGCTCAAGTGGGGACCCCGGGGAGCAGCGGCTCACCCCCACCCTTACC